ACACATACATGTACACACACACATACATGTACACACCTGCAGAAATAGTCACATGTCATACCGCATGGCCTCCCGTAGAGATAACTGCCGGCCCATTATCATCTCTCTGCCTGCTTTCTCAGCAGTGAACCGGGTCATGATTGCTTTTAATCTTTTCCCACGTAGACAATTATTTGATTGAGTTCTCGTAGTTCACACTCACAAAGGATTGAATTATGTTTAAATCTAAATGAAAGTTGACATCCTTTTTATATTCTTTTGTTGTCTTTCTCCCCGTCTCAGGTAAAGTTTTGGTCCCAACACATTTCTTTCATCTTGGTGGGTATAATAATCGTTACATCCATTCGTGGCTTACTCATTACCCTCACTAAGGTAAACTATCACATGATACATGTTGAAATGGCTACAGATCTTGAGGTCAATAACTAACTTTTCTTTTTAATGGTTTGTTTAACCAAAGATTTAATGCTCTTTCATTTTTAGTTCTTCTATGCAATATCAAGCAGCAAGTCCTCCAATGTCATCGTGCTTGTCCTCGCTCAGATCATGGTGAGTCCCTCGCTTTATAGTTGTTTATAACATAACGTACAAACAACAGATAAAGCAAAACTTTCTCTCTCTGTCTCAGGGGATGTATTTTGTTTCATCCGTATTGCTGATGCGTATGAGCATGCCGCTGGAGTATCGCTCCATTGTGACAGAAGTTCTGGGAGAGCTGCAGTTCAACTTCTACCACCGCTGGTTTGACGTAATCTTCCTGGTCAGCGCCCTTTCCAGCATCCTTTTCCTGTATCTTGCCCACAAGCAGGCACCAGAGAAACACATGGCCCTCTGATTCCCCACATCTCTCCCCACCTGGATGTGACCCCTGGGGTGACTTTGATTCTGGAATAGGGATATCAAGGAATTTTTTTAAAATATAAATTACATAATTATCTGGACTGCCGGGTTCCTGAATCAGGAATGGCTGATTGTTGGATACAAGTGATGGGGAACCTTTGGAGCACATGAGGAGACAACTTTGAAAGTGGACTTTCTCGAATTATTATCAAACCATTTACAGAACAAACATTACTATTAGGAATTTAATTTTACATGCAAACGCAAAAACTTTGTAATCTGTGCTCTTTATTTTGGCCAAATTGATCTTTACTTTCTTTTGTCTGAACACACTGGAGCTGTACTGTTCACAGCACATCCCTGCTTCACTTTCACTGAGGTGGACTACGGACTGTGTGAAGGAAAGATCACAATGTCAATCATGATCTCCGTCCTGAAGCGGCTGTTATTTTTAATAAAGTATGTAATTTAATTGGGAACAAAAACAAATACCCATAAAGTAAGCTTAATTCAGATAGCATTTGTTCATTTATTTGTGTTCGTGGAAGTTTAAAATCATTTTATTTTATTTGGAAACAAAAAACAACAAAATTTAAATTTTAGAACATTAAATAAAGGCAGCAGTCTTTGCATAGAGAAAAATACATGAAAGTCTACAGTATTTACTGGCAACATAATAGTGTTAGCTTAGGCTTTGTAGGCTGTACTTATCTTGGTAACATTGGTAATCTCATGTTTGGGAAAGACATTAGTCAGATCATTGTACAGACTCAGTAATGAGTAGATCTACTGTTTGCATCGAAGGACAAAAGTATTCAGCAACCTGTTTTGTTCTCAGCCCTTTATACATGCAACTATTCTGCTATGATTGAGATATTGACAGTGAATTTCAAAAGTCTTAGTACTGTCCTTGTTCGGTTTTTTGTCTCCTGTAATATTAACTGGATGTGTAAAGCCCTTAGAGTTGATTGTTTGAAAAAACAATGGATGAACATTAGATTGACGTAGGCCAAATCAGGAAACGGATCCTTTTGGTGGCTTCTTAGAGTCTCTCGTCGAAACTGTCTTCAGAGGAAGATGATGAGGACTAGAAGAAAGGGAAAATAGGAAAAATAAAATCACAATTATTTTAGACATTGGACATTTTCAGCTTAATAGCTGAAAAGGGAATGACATCACACGTGCTACAATTCTAGCCCTTATTAAGGATGCAGCAAGTACACGGCCACCGATAAATAAGACTTGAGTCTTCAGTCAGTCATGCTATTGGTCCTGTGAGATCATACTTGAGCACAGCAGTGCATAAAGCTAAATGCATACGGCAGTATGCTAACAATGACAATGCTAACATGTTGATGTTTATCAGATATATTTCTGATATTTATTATAATCACCATCACTCAAAACTACATTAACGTCATGGTGGTGTTCCAAGTCGGGATCACTGACATCTCATGGCAATCCATCCAATAATTGTTAGATATTTCAATCAGGACTAAAGTGGTTGACTGACAAACCAACATTACCTAGAGCCACACTACTAGCTTAAAGGTGCAATATATATATATATATATATATATGTGGAGTTACTGCTGGCAACTGTAGATGTTGTTAGGTAGTTGGCTCAGTTAGCAATGCAGCTAGTGGCCCCATTGGCTGTATACTGTATTTCTATGAGCTGACTCTTTTTGTACTTGGAGCCCGGAGCACCGGGGAAGTGTTTGTGTTTACGTGGCTAGCACAGGAACTTTTGACTGCTGGGAGGTGCAGCGTTTCAGAACCAGGCGTTGGAACCGGATTCAACAGGGCTGGACCGGGACCGAAAACAGACTCTGAGACCAACGCAGGCCACTTCACTGATAGGGAATACGCTACCGAGGTTATTTCTAATGACTCTGACTTGGACTCTTGACTTCACTGTTAGATCCCACTGAATCCTTCACACTGGACCTGTAAATGTTACCTGTGAACATTTAAACAAGTACCACTCACCCTCTCTTTTGCTGGTTCAGGGGGGGATTCAGGTCTGGCCTCTTTCTCATGTCGCTCCTCCGTGCTGGTCTCTGGAGTATCTGCATAGTGGACTTGGGCATAAGATGTTTCCCCGAGGAGCAGGCGTGTGATGGTCACTCCTTTAGCTTTGAGCTCGTCATAGACGTTTCTTTTAGCCACCAGCATCTCCAGAGAGCTGCCACAGCTGCGGATTATTGCCACCACCTCGTCATGGCTGCTCTGCTCCACATTTACTCCGTTCACCTCCACCACAATGTCGTCATCCTCCAGACCAGCCATGTCAGCCACTCCACCCTTCACCACCTGAAACAAAGTGTGTCTTACCACTTTGATTTAAAATGCTAATAATTAAATGGCAATTAATTAATTAATGAATTAATTAAATTCTTACGTCTTTGATGTACTGTCCACACATCCCCTGGATGCCGTTTAGGTGAAAGCCATAGCCAGCTGAGGTCTTCTCCATCTTACACAGTTTAGGCCTAAGCTCCTCCTTCCTCCCCTGAACAGTTGTGGAGGGTCGGACAGGAGCAGGTAAATTTAAGGCCTCTGTGTAACTGGGCGGTGAGTTGGACTCCTGCATCTCCTCGTAGAACAGCATAGGAGACACTTTCCCCTGTTGAGGGATACAGCCATAACATTAAATAGATTGTCTGCAGCCTTTACTAGAGTGTGACATTGGCACCGCGACTCACCTGCTTATATATTTGGTCCGTTTCTTTGTCCACCACTAGGAGGCAGCAGTTGTTGCCACTCTGCCTGAACCTGTCCACCACTTGCTCATGGCTGCAGCCGTCCACCTCCTTACCATCCACAGCCACTAGTCTGTCCATTTCCTTTATACCTGCTCTTTCTGCTGGGCTGCCTTTGTCTATATCCTTGATGAAGTGGCCTGCAATCAATCAGCAAATTGTCAAAATACATCCTTCTCTCTGGTTTAATCTTCGCCAAAATACCACTTATTTATAATATATTCATCGTGGTCTTGCCTGTTTGCCTGGGATACTCCCTGAGGAGGAAGCCATAGCCATCAGATCCTTTGGTCATGTTGATGATGCGTGGCTTGTGAGGGAGATACTTGGCTGTGGCTAACCATGCTCCTATCTTTATACGCTTGTTCCCGTAGAACCTGTCTGTTTCCTCATCCACCAACAGGACCATTAGGCTGCTGCCAGCCAGTTTGATCTTGTCCACTACTTGATCGTGTGTGCAGTCTTCTATGTTCTCCCCGTTGATCTCCAGCAGACGGTCGTTGAGTTTGACCCCTGCCCTGTGAGCCACGCTTCCTGGGGTCACCTCTGTCATGAACAAACCCTGCTCACCTAGAGAGGATGTTACAGGAGATAGGAACAAAGCCAAAAATAAGCAAACTTACAGATATTTCAGCTGAGATTACGATTACATTGCGAATAACAGTACCACCTAATAAGAAAGTACCCTTAATAAAGCAATTACTAATACTTCATAGATCAGTCATAAGCCATTCATAAGAACTTTTGTTGGATGCCAAGTCGTGCAAATTTGGCTGGTTTTCATCCTCCTCCAATATGACACTTATGTTACATTTAATTTTGCTCCACCTGACCTCTGACCCTCTGGAAAAGAGGGTTTTACACATCAAAACCTGTTTCCAACTCTTGGAGGAGGTGAAAAAAGTTTTGTGGCTCCAGAGAGAATAGTTTGAAATCAGTCCGGTCTACAAGTTTGAAAATTTCCAAAAATCCGGGATGTTGCACCAACAGTCCTCCTACAAGCTGCGGCAATTATATGAAATGGTATACACTTGCTGTCTCCTAAGTGGGCATGATCCCCCCCCTCACCTGAAGTGTTGTGTATGTCGCATAGATGGCTGAAAGCCGATTGGGTTGTGCTAGAGACGGTTCAGAAAGTTATTTAAGTTTTAGTTCAATCAATCATATCATTGGTGACATTAGACCGATGATTCAGCAGAGAAGAGATATCTGCATTGCCAGATCTCGCACCAGTGTTTTCCTGCTGAGGCAGTCAGGTCTTGACCAAAGTTAATTTGTTTGTGATTCGTATGTTTGACAAATTGCATTTTAGTGTCTGAATGTTCGGAAGATATGTGGCTTGTGAGTAATGGGTCGAATATTTACTTTGGTGACTATGGAGCGAAAGAATGGGTCATGATCTGTGCTCATGTTCACTACTCCCATTGGAGTGAAAACACTGAGCACCACCGCTAGTCTCCTAAAGGGGAAGGGCAGTGGCTAAACCCATGTGACAGATCCAGGAAATGACTTTTCAGTGTGATATCTCTTTTCTAAAGAGTCTCTGAGGCTAACAGCTTGAGGCTGACATTAGCTGCTATTAACACACCCAAATCTCGAACCGATCTGTCTGTGGTCGAGTTGTGGATAATGTAGGCGCCAGGTTTTGACAATATCTTTGTTTCTGCTAAAACAAGTTTGATAGGCTACTTAAAAACAATAATTGTCCATCATGAGTCCAGGATCGTTAGGAGTATGCTAATATTAATATTAATTTACATCTGCAGATTTTATTGTTGTTGAATTTTATCACTTTCTAATAAGCCACAGCTGTTGTTATAAATGCTAATATATTGCTATATGGTATATATATATATTAGTAAAGAGGCTTTCACACTGTTGCACCGTAACTTGCCGCCTCCAGTCATTTCAATGAGGGGAAAACAAGATATATAACTTAAGTCTAGTGTTCTGAGACGTGGAATGTCACATATAATGTCTTTAAAGGGTTTTCACGACAATCTATCAAGTCCGCAGTTATGAGCGTTAACTGGTGTTAAAGAGTAACTTAACACTGTAAAGCAGTGTTTCAAGGCCTCTCTAATTCAAGGTTTCAAGACTATTATAGGTGTGGTGTGGTTGGGTGAAATCAGAAGTGGGCTCTGTTGCACCTGTAACCACACCCACTAGTGATGTCACAAGGCCCTTGAGCACACCTGTGCATCACTTCAGCGAGGTTAGAAGTTAAACCGTCAGCAAAACTTCCTGATGAGTTAAAGACTTAAATGTAATAAGACAAAGAAAGTATAATTCTGGAGGAGGATATTTACTAACCAATGAGAGATTTTACAAACCCCAAAGTTCTTATTAAAGACTTATTAGTTGTTACTAAAAGAAATTGAAAAACATTTTAACTATTAAAAAAGTCATTAACGCGTGCGTTATTAGAAAGTGTTACAAAATGATTTCCTGCTTTAAGTTCAGTAAATCTAAAGTTACAAATCCCAGCATCGAGTTTTATTTTTTATCAGTTTGACCCCATATAGGTAGATACATTAAACAGGTATATTTGTATGTTTCATTTTGACATTTTAAAGATTTTTTTAAATAATTTATCATAAATTGTGATTAACTCTGCCTCCTCAGCTCACCTTTGACTGAGCGAAGAGAAAAACCAAAACCTGAGCTGGACTTAACCAGGTAGCAGAGTTTGGGTTTTGGATCCTGTTTGCCCACACCGTTGACAACTGGTGTGCTCTGAGAGCCAGACAGGTTCTCTCCCTGTGCTTTTGCTTGCTTGTAGGAGGCTTCATCCAGGATGTGGAATGTGACTGATGCGCCACTGTTTCTCACAATGTCCACAACCTGTCCCACGGAAACACATAAATAGCAGAAGGGTTTTGAGAAAGAGGTCTGTCACAGTGCAAGGCCATCAGTCTATGGAGCCCCAGAACTGAAAAATGTAGTAAAAAGTCAGAGATATAGCAGAAGTTTTATAATTATTATTTAACCTCCAATAAGTTGGTAAAAATCAAAAAGCTTTTGTTTTTTTCTTTACCAACAATTAGTTGATAAATAAATTGAAACTTAATTAATTTCTCTTCTATCTATATTTCACTATCGCTCATTTTATTTTTATTATTTTTATGTTTTGGGTCTTGATACACATTAATTGATCTATTCTATATTCTATATTCTAGCCATGCAGCATTTTTACCGCTCTCTTATAACAGAAGCTAAAACATTTCAGCAAACGTACGACTAATGCTAACGCAGTTATCCAGATAATGTTACTTTGTAACATTCAAGTTCACAGAAACCGTCATTACAGTTGTCTTCATCTTCAACTGCATGTCTCTTGTCTTTATCAAGGACCTTAATGGAAACAAGTCTTGGGCTATTTGTGTCGTTCTTGACATTTTGTAGAAGTGCCTCTTTGCATAATGTTAAATATACTAAAAATGGAATAGATAAATGATTAAATGTGTGCCAAGGCCTGAAAATGTATTATTTTAATGTAATGTATTTGTCAACTGATAAGTGGTAAAAAGAAAAAAGAAAAAAACCTTTTTGCTTTTTTACCAACTGATGGTTAAGGGGGGAAATGTTTAAATCACTCCATTTATTATTATATTTATTGACTGATTATTTAACTAACCGTTTTATTTATTGATGTACTCACTTATTTTTGATGACTTGTCTATACATAACCTTTTACTACAGCACATTTAGTCATTTCCGGAGCTCCATATTAGGAGTTCTTATTGATTTCATTAATAATTCAGAGGTAATTCCACATTACCTCTGAGTGGGACATTGCATCAACAAATGTTCCATTGACCCGCAGGATGCGCTCTCCATCTTTCATACCAGCCAGTTCAGCTGGACCTCCCATTTCCAGGCAGCGGATCAGGTGACCCTCCTCACCCTGCTCCACCCTCAAGTAGAAGCCAAATGTATGGCCCGGTCTCTTGGTTAGAGAAATCACCTTAGGCTTGTACCCAGCCATGTCCTAACATGGACAAGAGGGTTAATACACAAATTATATCATGTAATGTCCTTTATGAAATGTGGTCCTTGGGCATTTTTAATTAAAGTGAACACAACTTTTATTTGAGTTCAAATTATTGACATCTTCATGCTTTGAGGCTGTGATATGCAAGGATAAACAAGAGAGAGACATACAGTGCTATGTTCAATTTGTGAATGTAACCCTTCAATAAATAAGTGGCTGCCTTTATTGTATTTATTTATAATGTTTAAAATCTGTCTCTCTCTCTGGCACCCTTTAAACATAGTAATTTAATAACAGGTAAGCCTGAACTTAAAGAGCCATAGAAGTGCTGATAGCTTCAGATGGAAAGTTAATCTTCCATGTCAGCGCTCTAGTGGCAGTTAATGGTTAATAACAGGCACAGCTGACTGTGGTGACGACTCTCCTTTAAAAGACAGCCTGGACTTTGAATATCACTGTAATCCTCATATTTCCATGCAGGGAAGTCGTAAAGGATGTGTGTATTGCCATGTGGGGTGTGTGTGAGCTGTGTACATGGCGACTGACTCTCATAGTTAAGTAGGATTTTGAATGATATGTTTGTGTCATACAGCTGTTCCTGTGTTGTATCTGTGTGTGTTTGTTTGTTACTCTGTAATTTCATATCTCTGTCAAGTGTCAAGGAAATGACAGACATAAAATAAACCAGAGAATAAACTGTCTATAAAAAGAGAAACAAACTCAGTACTCTAACTTGACTCAGTGATCTAAGTATGGTAAAATAAATAAAGGTATAATGCCTGCACTATGACAAATAACACATTTATTCAAACTTACAGGTCAAGCTGATCAAGCAAAATTAACATCCAAACAACTTTGTGGTTTGGCGTTAGCTTAATGTGATGTGTACATCCCATAACTTTCTCCTCAAGATAATTTAAATGTATACACATATACAGCAAATTCTATATCTACACTAAACTGAAACTAATTGATGCTAACGTTGAGTGTTTTATTCATCAGTCATATTGAGTATCTTTGGAGACTTGGGAATCTCCACTAGAAGTTGTGTTGGTTTAAACAGTGCTTGGCAGCATGATGCCAATTTCAGAGATTATATGGTTAAAAGATCTTATCAGAATTAGACACTTAATAACAAACTCAAGTTAACTATATTGACTTCATAAAAGTTCAGCAACACAGCTCACCCTCATCAAATCCACTGTTTCTATAGAAGAATCCATATTGTATTGTATGTTAGTGGTTCCCAACTTTTTTGGCATGTGTGACCCTTTCAGTTCAACCCCAGAGTGAGCTTTTGTTTTATTTTAGGAGGCTAAAAGAAGTACAATTATCCAGTACTTTGCAGGAAAAAGTACAAAGATTAGAGGGAAATCTGAAAGATTTTTATATATATATGTTTTTGGTTGCTATAGATTTATCTTGCAACCCCTTGTGGGGGATCCTGACTCCTAGGAACCACGGTATGCTGTATTGTTATGTTAGATTTTTTTTTTAGCTTTCTGAAATGGTCCTTTTTATACATTTTATACATTTGTTCTGTATTTTAAATAATTACATGATATGTGATCAAAAATCTCATGTTAAACTATATAAAGTATTGTAAATAGTGTTTTAAAAATTAAACTCACCAGCTCGTCTCTGCTCAGCGTCCCAGTCTAAAGGAGGAGCTCACCTGTCACTGCTTAGCTGTTATCTATTGTATCTTCAACCTGTCCTCCTCCTACCTCCTTCCCCCTCCCCCCCTTCCTCTCTCTGGAGGGACTTTGACAGGCCAAAGGTGAGCCTAAAGGCTGAGTTATTTAACAGTGTCTCGTGTCAGGAATGTCTCAGGAGGCAAACGTGTGCAATCTCTTTCCAGAAAAAAAGATGAAACTGCGAAGCAGTTGGTGGTCAAAGGTACATGACATGTGGAAATCAGCAATGTCAGGAATTATTATATTACTGTACGTACATCATAGTCAGCACTACATCAAGGGAAATGCATTGTGTGCGTTCTCATTTGTATAAATCTTAATCGTATTAACCTGATTCTTATAGATTTGGGGAACAAAAAATAGTATGCACAATTAAATCTACTGCATATATTATCAGTATCACTTTAAAACAGGAAAACAATATCATTTTGGGTGATCTCAGAGTACCAAGAAACATCCTTTCACAACATGAAAACAACATAATGTGTGCTGACAACTTATAAACAGTTGAACGTATGACAACACGACTTCGGAAACATCAAAATAGACCTGAATAAATCTTTCATTGAGTTCCATATCTTATATTTTGACAGTGACACTACACTTGTTTCCAGTTTATTATAATAGGTAGTAGCTAAAACTGATGCACTCTAAATCAATTATATTGTGTTATATTTAATGTTTCAAATCAGTTCCCTTCATTAGATCTTTATTTTCCCCTGAGGGGCAATTTACAATATTTGCAGTATAAACAAAAACAATTCAAATGCAACACAACAGCCACAACAACAAAGGCAATAAAGCAGAAGAAAAGCTTATTGTGGGTTTATAAACACAGATTTTGAAATAAAGAACCATATTCACTGAAGAGGTAAATTCAATTGTTACAATTTTATATTGAATTTGGGAGCAGGCCAAAGCTATTGCACTGCATAGTAATTACATAGTTGGAGTAAGATTATTGTTTCACACAAACAGATTGGGTTGGCGTTGGGGTGGGGTGTACGGGAGTAATGTTAATGTTAGAATGACACATTAGGAGAAATAAATGCAAATTTGTTCAGTCATTTAGTCCACATATGTCTCGTAAATCAATCCTTCATTTTCCCAGGAAATATCGTGCCCAGTGGCAGAATTGAATAGTGAAAGCGTGGCTTCATAAAGAGTTCTCTATATTTTACTCAAACGTGGGAACATCACCTCAGTCACATCTGTCAGCATCACACTTGGTCAAAACTGGCTGATATAATAGCTTCGATAAACATTATATGAGTTTGTTAAATTATTTGCACCCTGATGTCATCACAGGTTAAATTTTTACTTTACTGCCCTCTTGCATCTCTTAAGGTAAGAACAAGAGTCAACTTGAACAGCCCTCTACTTAAATGGACTAAATGGACATTTATTTTATATTAAATGAATAGGTTCAAAAGGTTTAGGGTAATCTGGGGTGTAGCTTAGTTTTGCAGGTTTATGGTTGCTGTGGTTGGTAACTATGGGAGAGTCCTTTAGTTATAAAAGGCTTATTATGATACTGCTCTCCTTGTCGTGGGACAAAGGTGGCACAACTCAACCAAAGCCTAGCAAAACAAATCTGAAAACTGTGAAAGTTAATTCATTACTGCGCTGATAGCTAAAGCTGTTAAATGGCTCTGTTTCATTTGTACTCTGAATTCAATTAACATGCTGGTATTATCCTTCCTTTCTCACAGCCTACAGGGAGATTGTGAGTCTCAGTGAGGGTAAAGCCTGATAATCGGTTGTAGTGAGACTCGGGTTGCTTTGCCATACATGTTGCTGCCATCTACTGTTGTCATGAAAATTATTTCTGGACACTCTCCTGCAATGCTTCCTGGGTTGGAGAAATATATGATTATGTTGAAGGGGTGGAATTTATTTTACTTTTCTGCACAAAGCACACTTATTCAACTACTGTATCTAAGTACAGTTCTGGGGTACTTTTACAGTGTGTAACTTCAGTATTTCCATAGTCATACTATAAATATCTTAACTTAATAGCTGTATATATATTTTAGTGTATTAATTTTACTCTGTTCATTCTGTGAATGGTGTTCATACTGTACATATCCTGCTAGCATATTCATATATATATCTATAATGTTATTTTTTGATATCCCTGTACGTATACACAATACTCTGCACTGGTTTTTGCACTTCTGGTTAGATGCTTAAATGCATTTTGTTCTCTTACTACTTGTACTTTGTGCAATGACAATAAAGTTTTATCTAATCTAATCAAATCTAATCGGGTACTTTATTTATATATGGTTAAATAAACATTAAAACATTAAGATACGTTAAAAAACATATGATGAGTTTTTTTTTATGCTGAATATTTACCCACATGTGAGTATTTTTTCCATAACATTACTATTTTCACACAAGTAAATGTTCCAAATACTCCATCACTTAATCTCCAAATTGCACTTAAAAGGACATTGCATATTAAAAATCGTTAAATTTTTTTATAAAAACAAATTCTGTCTAGCAAACCTTTTCTTCCTCATAAAGCACTTGCAAAGCCTTTTAGTTGATGCTTTGAAACCTGCATTAGTGCACTTTTATTTTTTCCTCCTCTTTGTGGTACACTGCTTTTACAGTGTCTTACCACCAGTGGTATTGTATAGCCTAACTGTGGGTGGTAAGATGGACAGATAATGACCATCCTCTGTGGTTGGCAGAAATGTGTGTTCGGTCGCCCCATGCTGATTCTGTACATATAGAAGTTGTAATATAAACAATACAGGAATATCACTATAACCTGTATACGTGCAATCACTGATGGTTTTGGCCGCTTGAGGGCAGCAAAAACACAATATTGACATATCATTGACTTTTCCTTTATGATGTGGTGAACTTGTTAGCGAACATTTGCTTATTGACACATCCAGGCGACATTATCAGTCATTTGGAGTCGTGTTTAGCCACCACAGTCAAATTTGAATGCTCTTTTAGCTCAGTTTTTTGGTCTTTACCCATTCCAGGTGAAAATATCTGTCTCTTTAGCTGCTAAATGCTATGCTACGTTCAACATTTAGTCTCCAATTGTGTCTGTCTGGTGTTTGGTGCCAAGCAGGCTGTGTACAGTGGGCTTTTAGAGCTTTTTTTTGCTGAAAACAGCTGCCAGCTGCAACCAAAAACAATGCTATGAGAGTGGTAAGAGTGAACCAAAATGAGAAATAATGAGCTGAACCTCACTATAAAGCTCAGTAAGGGGAGATGCAGAGGAGGGAAGAGAGGTAATAATTTTCCCAGGTTCATCATTACTCTCCACCTCTAGTTCAGTGAATATGTATGTACACAGCATGCAGGTGAAAAACATGAGGGCGCAGGACTGTTGGCCTCAAATTGAGAACAACAGGAGGAAATGACTGAATGTGTGCAGGACTGGGGGCGTCAATCTCCCTGTTTGTACACACAGACACTCAGATACAGGTGTATGTACCTCCAGGCACTTATGACTGTTGATGGTTTGGTGCATATAACCCTGTAGCCACACACTCACTACCGGCCTGGAGCCATGTTTGAACAATCGATCCCAGAGGTCCAGGAGCCACAGCCAGGTGAGAGATGAAGCGAGTGGAAGGAGACAGAACTTCTCTTCAGCTCAGCTTAGCACCGATGCATTCACCATCCATTACCCCCAGTCATCACCTTGTGTTTGCCAAGGAAAAAAAGGAGTTTAATGTATTTCCGTGACCTTGAATACCAGGATTGTTGAATCCTCCACAGCTCCAGTTGTTTATTTGATCTGAAACCTTATCTCAGTGGTATTTACAGTAAAGGTAGCAAAGTATACATATACTGTAGCACCAGAAGACACTGACATGAGCTGTAAAGTGCCACCGCAGAAGTGATTATCTCCAACCTGTCTTCATCTGCAGTGGAGCATCAGTAATCAACACGTCATGCCAGTTTGTGATTACTGCACTCAACTGGGAGCACTAGTCTCTCTCTTCATCTTGATTGGCATCCTCACATGGCTTGTTTATCTGGGGTAAGTGGCTCTGCACATGACCTGCCTGAGCCAGCTAATTAGACCAGGAGAAAGATTAGAGGTGGGCCGCTTGAAATAATGGCCCCCTTTTTTTTTTCTCTAGCAGTCATTTGAGCGTTCAGAGGCCAAACAGACGGTCCCCGCTCTCCACAGCAATAACACGCCTCAGAAAGCAGCGACATTTTAACCTCTCAAATGTACAGGTGGCACAGAAGAGACAGTCTTTCCACTGCCATCAAGGAAAAACAAGAATGTAACCTGTCCAGGCCCAAGGCACATATTACGTCAATGGCTCATCTTCAGCTCAATACAGCTCAATGGTGCAGAACATTATTTTTATATTTTAAACCTTGATGCAATGGTTGATGATGACAGGACATGTCTAATCATAACAATAGTTTAGACACATCGGCCTTTAATAAATGCCATTAGTTATTTTATTATTAAGAATTGAAAACATTTTAAGGCTAAATTTAATCATAATAAAAGCGTGGAGTCAAAAAAAGGTCTCGATATGGATAAATATCAGTCTCAACCTGCAAAAGTACTGTGACCAGAACTGAAATAATCAAATAAATCTCAATATTTATAGAATGTTTTTTTGTGTTTTTTTTTTTTGCTCGTTCCCAAAACACGGAGCACAGTGACATCTATCACCGTAGTTTGGTTGACATGTTTAAGATGACACAAGAGTACAATGACAGGGCAATTTCTTGCATTTATCATCATAATGAAATTGGACAGATTCTTATTGAGTCACGCCAACCATGGTTAATTGCCTGCCAATGCCGGTCATAACTACGTCTTGATGGCAGCAGTACTGGAAGTATCCCCATGTAAGAAAATTCTACAAAAAAACAGCAATGACAGGCAAAATCAAAGAATTATTATTGTTGTCTGTAGTCAACTACAAAGAAAAGACAAAAAGTGGGAACAGAGTTAGAAGTTGTGGTGAATACTCTCCTCTCTTCCTGCAGCTTTCTAAACACCAACAGATCTACTTGGTTAAAGTTAGAGAACGATTGTGCTCATGTTTAAAAGACTTGGACTGTTGGTAGGAAATATCATCTAAACATGTTGCTGAGTAAACAGCTGAGAAAGTGACTACAGAAAGACTTTTTTCCCCTTTTTTTAGACAAGAATGTAACATGTATTTATATTTTCTGCAGGCCTACAACATTTTTTCATTCAAAGATCTGCAGCATGTTGATCCACTCACTCTGCACTCACACACCACATGAGGGCAGCGGTGCGCATGTAAACCCACTCTTTTAGTCATAAGGCTGCATAATATCATCCATGCATCCATTAGCTATACATCAGCTTGTACTTTAAGGTCTAGGAGGGCTGGAGGACAATTCCAGCTGAGATTGTGCGTGAGAGGCGGGGTGTAGACTACATCATCGACAGGTCGCCAGGCTGACACATTGAGACAGACAACTATTCACGCTCACATTCACTCTTACAGGCAATTTAGAGTCGCCAATTAACCTAACCTGTATGTCTATGGACTGTGGGAGGGACGTACAAACTCCACACAGGCTGCTTGCCGGCTGGCTTGAAGCCAGTCTTTATCAAAGAATCTTCATAAATGATCAGGGTTTAAATAAGGTTGCAATGTCCCTGAACCTAATTTAATATTGGGCATCTCTGTACTGTTTTTAATTCTCCCCAATCTCATTCATTTCAATTGCCCTAAAGTTTTACAATGGATCCGAGGCTGTTTTCATTACTGAAAAATGGAAGAGATAAACGTGTTAGGCCCGTCACTATTCAGATTTGACAAGATGAACCGAGGAAGGATAACATGAGGTTATCACAAAGAATTAAACTTGTTTTTCGTTAACGTAGTGTTGTTCTGCACTTGCACTGCTTCCAGCTCAGTAAACTCCTTAATTACTTTTAACCCTCACAGTGCCATCTGCTTCTTCTTTTATACTATAGGAAATTAATGATCACTCCTTGGAAATGATTTAATAACATTGTTTAAACCGATCATTTCTAATATCCGGGCAGGGCATCTTGGTGTTGTTGTATACAAGAAAAAAATATCAATTATGAATGATGAAGAGCTTTTTTCTTAATCGAAAAAACAATCAACTGCTTCGAGGACACCAGTAATTGTATAGGCTAGTTTAAATCTATGGTTAGCATGTGGTGTGGCAAATATTTTTAAATCAATAATTTAAGGATGAATGTGCCCAACAGCAGAAACAGACCAATGACCGTTTTTCTTGTTGTCCATCCATTACATTCTCTCTCTCTTTTACACACTTACAGACACACACACACACACACCACCCACCCTATATGACATTAGTCTTCCACTTCTGCGCTCACTCGCTCTCTCCATGCTGTTCACTTGACAAAGTGCAGCAGTGCGCCGCGCTCCTCTCTTGGTGCGCACTGATCACTGAGTAACGCGTGTGATGCCAAGTGAGACACAGTCAAGGCGGACAGATAACTGAAAAGAAACAAACTACAGTTTGTTTGTTTTTTTGTTGTTGTTTTGTTTTTGAAAACCGAGGCAAGTCTCAAGTGTTAAGGACCATGGGTGCAGAGTCCAGGCATTTTCCAACATCTGAGGCTCAGACAGAAATTTACAGAAGGTCTGAATCGAACTTTTTGCAACATTAGAGATAACATTAGGTAAAAAACGAGTAACATGGAGCTTTGCGCACGAAATGAGACATCTACGAGCCCAGAGTGCGTCGGAGCGCAGACGGAAGCGCTGCAGAACGGAGCCGGTAACGGCAGCTTGGACACAACAAACATCACCTACGGAAACGTTTCCACACTACTCATACCTCAGCGTGCCAGGCAGAAAGGTGAGAGGACGAACAGATAATTCAACATTTATCACCCGGAGGTCAATTAAAAGGTGCAACTGTGACCTCAGTTTGTGTTGAATGTATTTCTGTCCGCCTTTTTAATGTGAAGCACTAAGTGCTATCTATGTTGATGGTGATAACTACTGCTAATCACAAGGAGGCAAAACTAAACTGTGCTGCAAGAAAACTAACTCTAGCTTTCCTTTAAAGATTCCTCAGTTTGCGTCAGGTTGTCCCTGAAGGTTTATTGAGGTATTAGGTTGAACAACAGAAGATCTCTGAATTGAAAGAAGGGTAAACTGACTTTTTGGTGCTCACTCCCCTCAAATAACTACAGATAGAAGAAGAATTTGCACAACTTTTGGATCATAATTAAAAATGCATCTTTAAAAAAGCAATAGTTCTCTTAACATTTTAGTCATCAATCAAAACCAAGGGCCTACAGTGAATAGCTTTACAGTACATGGGGACCATAAACTTACTAAAACAGCCCCTTTACATACATTTGGCACATGACAGAGCAGAACAGGACTTAGTGCTGGAATATGATACCCTAATGTGCCATACTCTCCTTTTCGAAATATAGCTTGTGTTATTATGTTCTATGTTGCTTTATTTTAAGGGAAATCTATGCAAATGCGGTGAAATAGGGATCAGAGAGCAGAGGGAGAGAGAGCGTGTCATAGTCAGGAATCAAATCCTGCCCACACAGGGGATTTGTTCATAAAAAAGGTCAGATGTCTTCATATCTGGACTGCGCCACATGGTCATGCTGCTGCTTCCTGCTTTTTTTATATTTAATATCTGTTTCTATTTCCAAAGCATTTCCGTCCACTTTATCCAAAGCGAGGTTATGAAGATGTGTCTGCATGTCCTAGATTGTAAAACCCTCTGAGGCAAATTTGTGATTTTGGGCTATATCAATAAAACTGACTCGACTTGAATTTGTGAACAAGAGAGAACATCAAAGTGCGTCATCACTCTGGCAATATCCTCTCAGTCTCATTCTCCACCTGCTTTTTTATCAATCAACGCTTTCTATTTTCATCCCTCAGTGGTTGTTTAACAGTGTTTCCATGTGTTGATGAGGTGTGTGTGTGTGTGTGTGTGTGTGTGTGTGTAAAATACACTGTAGAGACTGAACACCTTCATTATGATGCTGAGTCTTGTAGATCAACATCATAAGTGAGAGATATTAGCTGTTGATATACACTGTATTTCCCAATTCAGTCATTCCCATGATTACCTCTACACCTGCCAGTGATGAGCAGTGGAAAGTAACTAAGTACATTTACCCAAGTACTGCATTAGTACCTTTTCATGACACTTCTACTGCACTACATCTCAGAGAGAAATATTGCACTTTGAAAATAAAAAAATAAATAAAATTTGAGCTTAAGCAATTTTATTTTAACCAATTAGTTCCAAAACTGTCTTCTCAAATGTAATCAAGTGCTTTTCTTAAATTAACGGTAAACTCAATAACTTTGAGATTTGGACTATTGATCAGACAAAACTAGACATTTGGTGTCTGTTTGAGCTCTGGAGAGTTTTTGTGGCATTTCTCAGTTTTTTCTTACATCTTGAAAACAACAACACATTATTCATTAAGAAAGTAACCAGCAGATTAATAAAACCAATTATTAGTTACAGCCCTGTATAAAACAGCCAAAAACAGTTCTGTTTAATCATTACGTAAGAGTAATTAAGATATGCTACTCACAGGGGTCACTTTTTTAATTGAGTATTTCTTTTACTTTAAGTACATCTTCCTGATGATACTTGTATAAAATTTTAATACTTTTAATAATTAACAATTTTGGGTACTCAGACATGTTATGACCCATTATGTTGAGCTGAAGCACAACATTGCAAATTACAAACGCACTGAAGACACATCTGACAAATTACAGATCAAGACAACTGTGTCTTGTGTTTGATAAGCAGTGATAGATAAGTTGGGAGCTTAATACATTTTTTGCTGCACTATTACATTATTTCATCCTCACACTGTGTCACTCACAGATCATCTCTTCAGTTTGTCTTTTTGCTGCCATATTTCTCTCTATTTAGTATTCCTACTGTATCTTTTGTAACCTGAGCACACACTCATCTTCTAAAGAGAAAAGATTATAATGTCTGACCCTGTACAGCTGCTGTCACTATCATTACTGACTCTGTCACTCCAAAATTTCATTACTTCTTCACCACGTTTGCTCATTCCTCTCACTTTCTCTCTCTGTCCATCACTCTGACTGACTGAGTTGTCTCAACGTCCAATTCCCTCTGTCGCATGCATTTCTGCAAACCAGAGATGTCAAAGCATGTGCTATGGACCACATTTAGTGCATAGGTTTTTATTCTTATCAGAGGGATCTCATGAATTCATTCTTCCTCTCTGGGTGACATTTATTTGTAATCAGTGAAATCAGCTGGGACTCATGCAACAAAATACGTTGTGTGTAACTGCCCCTTCTAGAGGCTGTCTGTGATCTGACAACATCATTTGTCTGCTCCATCCAAAATTGTTACTACCCAATATGGTTAAGGTTTGGTTAGATTCAGGCACAACAAAGACTTGGTTCAGCTTAGGCAGAGATTGTGGTTTCATTAAAGTGATGGAACGTGGTCATGCTTAAAAATAAACCATCTGTGTAGCAAACCTTAAGGGGTTCAGGGAAACATCATGGTGCAAATTACTACTTCGTTAAGGTTAAGGGAACTTTGTTGTCATGGTTACAATAATAACCACGTTGATAAGGGTAGGGAACTGTCGTGGCCATGCTGTCGGTAGGAAACAGGAAATGAACAGCTGTCTCCCACCCTTAAGTCTGACGTATTGTTGACCCATCCTTCCACCCCGACCTCCCAGACATTGTCGCTCAATAATAACATCGTCTTACTTCTTCCTTTGCTCCATACAGAATAGAGCTATACTTATCATGGTAGCTAGAGGTTGTTACCATTTTAATGTAAACATTGGGTCCACTTTTCCGAACATATTCATCCTTAAGTGGCTTATACGACTGATTAAGGAGTACCAATTACCAATTTTTTCTTATTTTGAATGTTCTCTTTCTGTACCACCTGTATGATTCATGTGCAATTAGCCTGCTGTTATCCAAACAGGTTTTCTACTAAAGGATTATATATTGCATTACTTTAAAGCAATTTGAGTTTTATGTTTAAATTCATAATTACGTTGACATCATCATCATCCTGCTTGAATATACAGTTTAAATTATAATATAGTTCTAAAATGTATCATATAGCCTAATGATATCATAATTCATTTAAATTGGCTATTGATGGGGTTAAGGTTCTCGTCAAATTAAGGTGTGTGCTTGTTGCTGTCTAGGGAAACTTCCTCTGTTGCATTGCCTGACATGCAACGTCACAACAGCACAACCCACAGGTGACACAACGTTAACAGCGCTTGTTATTTTTTCCCCACTCGATGGTTTTTGGCAGGTCCTTTAATTTCACAGCTGACGCTGTTAAAAATAATGGACTTTCCGTTGTTGATCTCCGAGCTCGTAAAGTTCTTTTTACTCTCCCATACCAATTTCATGAATGAACGTCCTCACACACTGGTCAGGCTGTGTAGCCTTATGTGGTATTATTAAGGTGTTAGTTATGCAAATGTTCAATTCTGAGAAAGTAAAGATAAGAATAAGAAAATGTTCTTGCGCAGGAGGGACTATGTAAATATTTCACACTGCTATTTATTAAAAGCACTACCGTAGAGGCAGAGTTTGAGAGATACTTACCAGACAGCCTCCCTGTCTGGTAAACGTCAAACACATTCTTTCGTCTGGAGCACTTTTTCCATTTTTATGGAAATGCAGCACTAAATTGCTGGAGTACCCTTTTAATGGTGCACAATGCACCCCTTGGGTTATTGATATATCTGTGAGACATTTCAGTGTGTGAATACATCACTGCCTTGTAAGAATTGCTTCATGGCACATGGTTTGACACCTCTGCCGTAGATTTGATGTTAGTTATAGTGTCTTTAGATGAAGCCTCTCATACGTTGTTTACTACACAAGACACAGGTGAATGACTACATATTTATGTGAGTCAATAAAAAGTTATGTTGTTAGTTATCTAGGAACAATAACAATGGCAGGAGGTCATTGCTTTAGAAATGATGATGACGGCAACAAAAGAGAGGTTATCAGTAACTGTCAGGAAAACAAAACTAATTTTCAATCCCTGAACACAAAGCGATTATTCCTCACAAAAGGCATTTAGACAAAAAAATAATTAACCCTCCTCTGTCCTCTTCTCTCCCACCACTTCTCTCAGCGCTCCACATCTCCTCCTGCAAATTTCCATCACTCACACACTCTCATCTCACTGCCTGTTGAGAGCTGAGGTGTTTAATACATGCTTGCACTGTGTGCCAAATAACCAACATGTTGTTTTGTAGCCCAATCGGCGTGACCAGGATCTCTGCGGCTCGTGCGCTGTAGTCAACAGAAAGTGGTTTTCGTTCAGTGCCTACATCAACTCTTCTGGGTTGCAGTTGGCTTAGTGACAAGGCTTAGATGACATTTACCATGCTGGATTAGCCACTAGCTGTGACATTTACCAATACCTCGGTTTTACAGGAGTAGAGCCGTCTTTTCTCTGATAGGTGCAGCGACACGAGGGCCAGCTGGGATTGAAAGTGACACACGCTGTATATATATTAGACATAGAGAGGGAGAGTAATTCATAGTCAATATAATGTCTCAAGGAAATAGATGAATCCCTAAATATTCATGCATGGCGTATGAACCTCATAATTAATTCATTCACTATTTGACTGCATCTAATAATAGCCTCTGCCACTGCAGTCAACTTTTTATTATTTTAATGTTATTGTTAGCAGGGAATCTGTTTACCAGCTGTTCACATGCAACACTCAAACTGATGTTGCACAAGACATAGAAAAGATTTTAGTGGAGTTCACAACTGAACTAAACTGTAAAATGTTTAACATGCATGTG